CCCGCGGCCGCCGCCGCCAGCGCCCTCCGCCCTCGCCCTCTGCCCTGGCCTCTACTCCCTCCCGCCTTGGGCCCTGGCAGTGGGAGCGGCTCCACACAGGCGCCAATAGAAGGAAAGGGGTGAAATAGGGGGGCTCCCGGCCCATTGGAGCCTCCAACTGCCAATCACGTCCACCCCCACCTCCGCCGGACACTTCCTGTCCCGTCCCGCACTGCACTGAGAAGGCTGCGTGGGACAGTCTGGAGCTAGATTCATAGGTCCTCGTCTGAAGGCCAGACTTTCCTGAGGCGGCAGGACCCTCCTCCACCCAGTTCTCTATAAACAAAGCCTCAGGATCAGAGCTCAGGAGCAGGTGACTGGAGAGGCTGAAGGTGCCCCTACTCCAGATAAGATAAAGGAGGGCTGGCCTAAGGTGGTAGTTCTCAAACTTTGCTGAGTATTGTGTTTTCCAAATAGCCAAGCATTGCCCCATACCAATTAAATCAGAATCAATCTCTGGAGGGGACCTAGTGTTGGTATTATTTTAAACTCTCTAAATGATCCAAAATGCAGCCAAATCAGAGGTTTAAGGTCAGACACGTGCATCCTTCTGTATGGAGTGCATGTGCACCTCAAGAAGCTAGCCAGTGTGCAGCGATAACACAGTGCTGTGACATTGGTCCTACATGGGAAGGTCCCAGGTTCACTTCCTGAGGTTTCCCAGCACATACCAGGCATTGCATGTGCATGCCTGTGATTCACACCAGCTGAGACTTGGGCTGGATAGTGGCATGAAAAACTCTTGAGAGTGCCTATCCTTCCATCTCTCACTCAAATGAGAAATAAACAAAAAGAAGAAGAAAAAAGGAAAGAAACAGCCAGCCAGCCAGGGCCCTCATCCAGTCCCTAGTCACTGGGGTCTCAAAGAAGATAAGTATTGTCTGCCTGGTTTTCTAGACCAGAGCAACACTCAAGGCTCAGGCACTTCTCCAGTGTCTCAGGGAAGACAGATCCTGGACTGGAAGACAGGCAGCCAACTGTTTCCTGGGCTAAGTCCAGTCACTGTCCAGTCTCCAGCCCCACCAGACTCAGGTCTCTCAGAAAAGAATAGACACCAAAATGTTCTGTCCATCCCTGCATTAGTCACAATTCCCACCTTCACCTAAAATGTTGGAGGATTGGACCAACCATGATGGGACAGGCAGTAGGGGCACTAGTACACCATGCTGGAAGCCACTTAGGAAGGCACAAGATTCATGTCCTGAGTCTACTTGAACATGCGGGAGTGCCCTTGGTGCCACCACGATCCTGACTGGCTGCAGGGCTTGGGCGAGGATCGTGGTATAAAGACCCATTGAGGATGTATCTCTCTCTCTCAGGAAATAAAGCTTTAAAAAAAAAAAATTGAGGATATCAGGTAGGCATCAGGTCTCCAGGGTGACACTGCTTGTTGTTCTCCCATGGTCTCGTAGTCTTGTCAAAGAAACAACTCCAGGGAAGGGTGTAGATCCAAGGTCACTCTGAAAATCATGCCCTCCTTCCTGCCAGAACTGTTTTCTGTGCCGTGCAATGATTGGGGCACAGGGGCAAGAGAGTATGTCACGGGCTTCTCCCTGTATGGGAGCCTGGAGAAGCCAAGGACACAAGGCCATGTACACGCTCCCTACCCATCCATTTAGCCCCTTGTGGGCTGGAGCTGAGCCAAGCTCCGGCCACTCACAAAGCCAGGGTTCTGGCCAGCAGCCCAGGGTATGGCCACTGACCACTGAGACAAGGATCCTGCTTACCAGCTCGCCACCAAACCCTCAGGCCCAGGCTTGGTGAGCTGATACCCAAGTGTAGTGGTAAAGGGCCTCTGACCTTCCCAAAACCTCAGCCACTACCAACAACACAAGATTTTAAAACAGCTTGGAATGCCTTTATACTAAGAGTAAGAAAATCTGTAGGCCAGACGTAATACTGAATATTAATTTTGTGCAGAAATTTGGGGTATAGGTTACCATGGCCTACTGGTTAAGGCAGTTGAATCCCACATGGTTGACTGTTCAAGTCCCAGTCCCAGAGGTGTGAAAAACATGCCAAGTACATGGGCAAGCATGCCTCAAATCCTGATAGAAAAATGGAGAAGGGAATTGCAGCATGACCATGCCCCACTGGGGAGTGCTTTCTCCCTTTCCTCCTCTCTTCTCTTTCTGG